AGCCATGGTGGGCAGAGAGGTACCACATCATCAGATGGCTGTCATTGTTCAAAAAATATCCACCAGAAGGGTGCAGAAAGCCTCCTAGAACTTCATTTGAGGTTAATGAGAGGCCCTTAAATGGTGACAAGTGCGCGGACCCCCGTTTAACATGAGTTTGAATGTGATTGGTTCATTCAGAATGCAGCCACATCTCCAGTTATAAGAGGGTGTGCGCACTTGTGCAAACACATTGTCTGAGTTGTTTGTTTATACTCTCTTTCTTTTTCTCATGTGTTGTACAGGTTACAGGTCACATTAATGGTGGGAAAAGAGTTGAAATAATGCGTCATGCGTCAGTTTGTTTTTTAATATCATAACCTGGCATTTCGACAGGGGGTAGAGACTTTTTATAACCACTATTTTATCCACACACACTTGGATGCGGTGTCAGAGTGTATCTGAGGGCTGTGAATTGCAGCTGATCAATTGATCGCTGGGGAGCTGCAGAGGGAAAATGTGGTTAGCCAAGAGTGGCCATGCGGCTGCACTCAAACGCGCTTTAATCCAATTGGACGGCTCTGAGTGATTGAAGCCAGCAGGCCCCGCCCACACACACACACACACACACACTGTGCCACTGAGCCTGACAAGTGCGGCTTGACAAGACATGCACTTGGGGGTGTAGAGGGTATATAGACATACACTCACGAAAAAAAAAACTAACGAGCAAAATAATGTCAGATTTGATTATGGCACAGATATATATATATATATATATATATATATACACACACACACACACTCATCTTTACGCACGCGTATATCAAACACCAGATTTTCTTTTATAGGGAGATGCGGATCCCAAATATCTCTTGTTTGTGTGTGTGTGGTGGTGAGAGTTGTAAAAACAACGAGATTTATTTCGGGCTGTTGCTCTTGGACTTCTGCTGCAGGGAAAGTGTGGAGAATCTGATCCACAAGCACTCGTACGCCCGCTCACCCATCAGAACATACGCCGGAGACGACGACCACATGCCCGACGACGGGCACCCGCCACACGCCAGAGGTGACTAACCACGTTATTATGATGATGATTTTTTAAATTTTTTTAATGTCCCATATTTCCGGTGACGCAGCATGTGACTTAGCTTATTCTTACGTGCTCAAGTCCACATTGGTTTGTTGCCATGAGGCGTCTCAATGTTGAAGACATTTGTGACCGCATCTGCTGTGTTTTCGCTTTGTCGTAGAAATGATGCAGACTTTTTATCGGTCCCCTGTAGCATTTCAAAATATTTCGCGTAGCTTAGCAACTTGTTGCACCGTTTGAACTCACAACCTTAGGGATCAACACGTGCATTTGGGTTAGCTTTACGTGAAATCACTGGAGAATTTTTGCAGCGGTGCCTTGAAAAGATTCAGAGCATTGTCAAAAAGCACATCGGGCATGATTTCATGTGCCTGGACTAGTCCAGACACATTCTCTTTTAAGATGTGTCAACCGGCGTTCACACACGGTTTAAGTTACTCTGACTGTTACTGAAAATGGATTCGTGCGAATAGTTAGCATGTCAACAAAACGCCGGTTCCTGTTGACGTCACACTGTCTGATCTGAGTCGGCAAATTATGATTCGATTTTTAAAATTTGCCACACCCCATCCCTCCGAGCACTAAACTGAACTCTATCGTTTGGATGCGCGCAGGCTCAGCGTTCACGGCCTCGGACAACCTGTCGCTGAGCTCGTGGGTGAGCGGCGGCGCGTCTGCGGGCTTCTCGGGCTTTCAGCCCCCTCCGTCGTTATCCGCCATGGGGGCGGGCGGAGCCGGCTCCCTGCCGCACCCCATCCAAGGCTCGCTGCCCCCCTACGGCCGTCTGGGTGTGCCGCTGACTCCCGGCGCCCTGCAGGCCGGCGGCCCGTCCTTCCCGTCATTCCACATGCCGCGCTACCACCACTACTTCCAGCAAGGGCCCTACGCCGCCATCCAGGGCCTGCGCCACTCCTCCGCCGTCATGACGCCCTTCGTATGACTCCTCCCCTTCCCAAATCTCGGACCACCTCACTCTCATCTTGTGTAAATAGATCACCCGGAAACGAGAACGAAAGGATGAAAGAGACGCCAAGAAAGTCCACGAAAGGAAAATCCTGGCGCCAAAGGACCAGAAAGCGGAGTCACCCATGTTGTCAAAAAAAAAAGAAAAAAAGCGGCGCCATGGCGACCATTAAACCGCAATCAAGCTTAGATGGTCACAGACATGATGCAACATTGGACAAAGGACCACAATGACAAGAAAATAAGAATAATTGTACTACCAGAATAAACATCGAGGAAAGGTTAGCGATTTAAAAAGTGAGATACTTTTGAAAAAAAGTCGGATTTTTACTTTAATCTCTCAATAGTACGGCTACCCCGCCCCCAAACAAAAAATATATATATTTTGCGAGTTTTTTTCTCATGTGGTGACAACCTTATATTTTGAAAATAAGATATTTTTCTTGAAAATAATTTTTGCAGAATTCTTTGTCCAAAAAAAGACCTTTTTTCTCTCCCCAAAATGATGTATTTTGTTGTTTTGTTTAGTTTGTTCCACAAGTTTTTTTTTCTCCCCCGCAAAATTCCTTTGCTTGTAAAATTGTTCTTTTTTTCATATGATCATCATTTCGTTTTAAATGAAAAAGAAAAAGTAACATCTTGAAGATGAAGACTTTTCACCAAAAAATAAGACTGAGTTATCTCATAGTATTCATTTTTCCACCCTTAAAATTAAGACTTTTTACCAAAAATAAGATTACGCCTGCAACTTTTTCCCTCAAAATAATTGCTATTTTTTTTCCTCTGAATTAATATTTCAACCTCCAAAAATGACCTTTTTCCTTGAAAAAATATTCCCGAACTATTTTTTTCACAAGATTCACTTTTTTTAAATAATTGATTTCTTTGATCTTCATGTTTTTCACACATACTATGACCTCAAAGAAATATTTAAATCTAAAAATAAGATTTTCTCATAATATTCAAAATGCTTGTCTTCTAACTTCACAATGTCTCTCAACTTAATTCTCTTACGATTAAGACTTTATTCTTGTACTATCATGTTTTTTTTTTCTTTTCAATGTGGTCCTTTGTCACTGAGAAACTGGAACTCAAAGAAAACTCCAAGGATCGTCCAGGACCAAAAAGCTGATTCGTCAATCTCGTAAAAGTCTCCTCAGAGCCGGACGATTTAAAAAATAAAAAAAATAAAGACAAAAGAAACAGGAAAGATTCAACAGTTTGGATTATCGTTGGGACTTGGGAGGCAACCGGAAACATTTCACGGAAACGAGATGACAACATGGTTCCAAACACATGTACAGTCAAAAGTCAATTGAAAAAATGGATGGAAGAGCTAAACTGGCTCACTCTAGAGACAAATAAACTCTAGCACGCATGCTGGACCAAACCATATAAAGAAGAAAAAAATAAATCATTGTTTCACTTTGAGTTGTTGAATTTCTCGTTAAAAACAACAAAGTAAACTTCTTGGCTTGTTACCACAAGCGAATTGGTTACATTTTTGTTTGCGGTTTCGTTGAAAGGGATAAGAAAAATGTTTCTGTTTTCCTGGAAATTATCATTATTTATTCATTATTTGATTTTGAGTATAGTGGATATAAATAGTCTACATATCCCAATTCCAATGCCAGATTTTTTTTTTGTTTTTTGTTATTTTTTTTGGTCTAAAAAAAAATTGAAAAAAAAATCATTTAACTATCCTCTCGGTTGAAATGGTAATCTTTTTGAGAGAGAGACAGTAAACATAAACAATGAGATAATGTGGTTGCAAAAGTGTGCACACCCTCTTATAACTGGCATGTGACGATAGTCGGACTGAACCAGTTGCATTGAAACTCATGTTCAATGGGATTTTATATATATATATATGTGTGTGTGTGGGTGTGTGTGTGTGTGTGTGTGTGTGTGTGTGTGTGTGTGTGTGTGTGTGTGTAGCATTTGAACTGGGGTATGTAGATTTTTAGCATCCACTGTAGATATTAATAATTAATATCATCGGTGTCCAAATGTTGTCTTATACTGGAAATATCATCACTTCAGCGAAACGGTAAGAAGATAACTTCATTTTTAGTTGACTTTTTCCACACAACTGACATCATCTTTTTTTTTTTCTTACTCAAAATTTCTGAAATCATTTTCAAGGACGTCTTCCTTCATTTGACATATATACAGTAATATTTAACGACGAGTATGAATGTGTTGTAAAAAAAAAAAATGTTTTCCATGTCCAGGCCAGCTGCATATTTATTTGGTTTCCATGAATGTAAAATGTACAAATGACACACTTATTTATCTGTTGTCATCTGAGCACCAAACAATCCTGCGTTTTGTTGAATTTGTTTTTTTAAGTGCAATATATTTATTTTGTTGTCTGAAAATGTCTAATGTATCACCTTGAAAAATATATATCACCACCCAAATGCTGACTTTTTATTCCCTTTCCATTTGCACACTACATGTGATAAACACATCTATTTATTATTCGTTAAACATATATAAAATGTGATTTTTAAAGTTATGTGGTTGATTATATAGATAATACTGTTACTGTTCATAAAGCTACAGTACAGTTTCTAGAATTAATACAGGAGTACAGTAGTAATGTAGTGGTTTCATGTAGTAGTAGTAGTCGTAGATTTAAAAGTCGACTTTGGAACTATAATGCAGTACTGTACTGACATTACAGCGCACTCTAGTGGCGAATTGTTTTAGAGCCATCGATGCAGGTCATTTTAGTGCAGCTGCATTGGGGGAAATAAAGGAAATTAAAAAAAATTGAAATGGAGGAAATAAATGATAAAAAATGTTTATCAAAATTGAAGAAATGAAAGTAAAAATGAAAACAAATTCCACGGAAACAATATTACTCTTTATTCACATGAAACAGAAACAAGAAAAATGCAAATCAATGAAGACATGCATAAAATAAACAAGTTAAGCACAGAAGAATACATCGTAGAAAGGGTTCTGTCAGTCGTCATCTGTACCTGTGGGTAAAAAACAAAAAACAAAAAACAAAAAAGGACGTTTCGCTTCTCTCACAGAAGCTTCGTCAGCGGTAGACAACCCTGAAGTCTCCGTGAAGACTCCGGGAAGTTGCTCTGCGCTAAAAGGCTGAGCGTGGCCTGTTTGAGGACTGGGTGGGGATGGTTAGTCACGCCCCTATGGTGAAGAGGCCCATTGGTTTCTAAACTCCCTATCATTGGGTCTTGATTAGGCCTATTGTTTGGGCTAAGGCTGAATAGCTACTTTCAGTTAGCCTGATCAGCATGTCTATGTCCCTTACTGGTCAACAAGTTATTGTAAATAGGAGACAGGTTAAATCTGATACCTCCTTCACGGTTCAGAGAGGGTGAAAATTTTTTAACAAAAATCGCTTCCTTTACTCCCCTTTCAAACCATC